ACACGACGAACCCAATCCTTGAATCATGAGTCAAAATAAACCTTCCTCCCTCAAGTTTCTTCTGTCTGGTCCTTTGTCACAGCAACAAAGCAAGTAACTAACACAACATACAAACACACATTGGAGGACTACTGAATTCTGCCATTAACTCAAAACCATCACAAACATCCTTCCAGATCAAGAGAGACAAGAGCTGATTCTCAATCAGCAGCACAAAGCTGTCTAGAACAGAGGGAGCATCCACGGAGGACCCTCAGGAGGGCCCCAGTAGTCAGCATTAGTCAGGCACAATAAGCAATCTGACTGCGTATTCTGGGGTCTCAGTACACTGACTTCTGCAAACCAGAGTCCCCAAAATGCCACCTTCAGGTCAAAATGAATGTGTGTATTTATTTTAAAATAGCCTGGTGTGTCTATGTAAGAAAGATCGGGGGCTGGAGATGGGGCTCGTTTGATAGACTGTGGCCTAGCATGTGCAAAGCCCTGGGTTCCATTTTGATCACCATACAAAGAGAGCATGGTGGCTCACCTCTGTAATCCCAGCACTCCTGAGGTGGAGGCAGGAGGATCAGAAGTTCAAGGCCAGCTTCAGCTACATGGCAAGTCTGAGGCCAGCCTGGGCTACAGGAGCTCCCATCTCAAAAACAACAAAGTAACAAATGTGTAAGGAACACATACAACCCCTCAACCCAGAGATGGTTAGAACCCCAATTTCTCTCTACAGAGCAGAGAAGTTACTTTGTTTTCTTTTAATAAATTTAGAGGGAGCTCTGATCCAACATATGGTCCCTGGAGTTCCCACAGAAGGCTATGTGAGCCCCGCTCACCCCCGACACGTTCCCCCACAGCTCTGCCACCGTTAAGATCTTTTACCAGTCTACTAAACTGAAACTAGACTTTGCCACCCCCAACTGTATGGCCTCAACCCACTGAAAAGCTACACCCTTTTGGGCATCTCAGATCTGTGCCAAACAAGAGGAAAATGGCCCACCAGTGGATGGTCAGCTTACCGATTTTTGCTGCTCAAACATAAGTTTTTTATAGAAGAGATGGAACTGTTCAAAACTGAGGTCGTCTTTGTGTGCACAGATTTCCTGTAAATAGAAAAAAAGAGATGACCACACAGGGCTGGACAGCTGTCTTTAGAACGCCTCCACACTCCACATAGAAGCAGAGAGGCTCCTCCACAGCACCCTCAGAACCAAAACTGCCCCCACTCCGGTGCCCTGAGTCACCTGGGAGGACACAGGAAGCCCACCCTTGAGGCCCCCCACCCCAAGCCCCACGGCCATCTGGTTAACACCTTTGGGGAGGTGGGTGATACCTTCTTTGGGTTTTCAAATTCAGACATATTTATAAAGTATCCTTGTGTGATTATTAAAACATGAAAAAGAATTTTGTGTGTGTTCCTTTCCATGTGGTCAGAGGACAACTTCGGGTTCGACTTCTCAGGCACCTCCAACTTTTTTTGTTGTTGAGTTTTTTAAAAAATAAATTTTTTAATGGGGCTGGAGAGATGACTCAGTGGTTAAGAGCACTGGCTGTTCTTGCAAAAGACCCAGGTTCAAACCCAGTACCCACATGGTGGCTAATAACCATCAGTAACACCAGTTCTAGGGGATCCACACCATCTTCTGTCCTCCAAGGGCATTGCACAACACAGGTGCATTCATAACATTCCACATAAAATTGTTTTTTAATTTTCAAAAACAAAACTAATTTTTAAAATTTTATGTGTGTGAGTGTTCTGCCTGTATATGTGTGAGTACACCCACATAGTGCAGTGCCTGATGAGGTCAGAAGAGGATATTGGATCCCCTGGAACTAGAGTTATGGACAGTTGTTAGCCACCATGTGGGTGCTGGGATTCAAACCCAGGTCCCCTACAAACGTAATCGATGCTCTTAACCATTGAGCCATCTCTCCAGCCCCGCTGACTTTTATTACATTCATTCATTTTGTGTGCATGTGGAAGGAGGGCATGTATACCACAGTGCATGTGTGGAGGTCAGAAGACAGCTTGCAAAAATTTGTTCTGTTCTTTGCTTCCACAATGTAGGACTCGGGGATCAAATTCAGGTTGTCAGGCTTGGTGGCGAGCTCCCTAACCAGTGGAGTCATCTTGTAAGCAAGTCCTTTTATTTTATTTTTTATTTTTAAGACAGCGTCTCTCAGTGGCCTGGAATTTTCCAAGCACGTTAGGCTGGCTGGCCAATGGGTCCCAAGAAGCTACCGGGCTCTTCCTTCCAGGAACACCACCGTGTTCAGCTTTTTTTTTAAATTAGTGTGAGGGTGTGTTTGTTCATGCACACATGCACTTGCATGAGGGGTGGAGAGCATGTCATGCCACACATGTCACTGCACATGTCATGGCACACATGTGGAAGTCAGAGGACAACTTTGTAGGGTCAGTTCTCTCCTTCCACTTTTACGTGGGTTTTGGTGCTTGAACTCATGTCCCCAGGCTTACACAGCAAGCACCTTTACCTGCTGAGCCATCTCACCCTCCCAGGGCCTGGCTCTTTTCACTTGAGTCACTAGAATGGAGTGCTGGTCCTCGCTCATGCACTTTACTGACTAAGCCATCCCCTAGCCCTAAACTGTGTTTTTAAAAACCATCTCCGGTCAGCTGCTTTAGAGCTTTGAGCAACTGACTTGACCCTTTTGGAGCCTCAGTTTCTTCATCTCTAAAATGGCAGAATCACCACCACCTCACAGGGCTTCTTTGAAACCAAAGAAGACAGTCTCTTCAAAATGCCTGATTCTGGGATGGCTTGAGAGAGAGCAAGACTGTGGGGCTGGAAAGATGGCTCAGCAGTGAGGAGCAAATGCTGCTCTTACAGAGGACACGAGTTCAGTTCCCAGCACCCATGTCAGGAGGCTCCCAACTGCCTGTAACTCCAGCTCCAGGGATCCAACACCTCTGCCCTCCATAGGCACCTGCAAGCATATGCACATACATACATACGTACAGACACACACTCATACACATAATTAAAAATAAAATTAATTTTTTAAAAAGAAAGATTGCAACCATGCAGGGATCAACAATAAACATCCCTCCTCTCTTCCACCTTTCCTTAATCCCACATGTCTGTTTCCTGCTGTGACTGAGGAGGGCACATGGGGGGCGGGGTTGAGGTGTGAGTGCAGATCTGAGAACATCAAGGAAAGCCAGCAACAAAAGGGGTCTTCTGGCCCAGGAGCTCACGAGGAATGAACTGGTTCAGCAGGGAGTCCTGTGAATGACAGCTGTGTAAGCCAGTCGGGTGAGCCTCCCTGGAGGATCCTGGGACACTTCCTGACAGTCAGCATCTCTCTGGGGTGAGAGGGGGGCACCGTCATCATCTCCATCACCCTTGTCCGTCCCATCACTCACGGTGTGAAGCACCTTTGCTGTCTACCCACCACAGCACAAGGCCGTGGCCGACCTCGGTGAAGGTGGGAGGTCAGCGGGGAGGCCGGGGCTACAGGAGGAGAAGGGCAAGAAGGGAGCCAAGTCCATCCGTTCAGTTAGCTGCTGGGGCTTACATACAAAACACAACGACGAGCTGTGCCTGGTGCCCTGCAGAAGGCATCTGCCACAGCATTTTACAAGGATCAGTGTTTTCCTGTTACTAAGAGGAAGGTCCGGGGAACACCGCAAGACAGACCGGCAGAGGACAGATCTGAGTCGAGCTTCTCCAAGTCACACACTCACTCCATCCTCCGTGAGGCCTGAGCCTCACACACATGCACAGCCTCTGATACACGCACAGCCTCAGACATACACACAGTCTCAGACACACAGAGTCTCAGACAATGCAGTCTCAAGACACACACACACACACAGCCTCAGACACAGGTACAGCCTCAGACACACACACACACACACACACATACACAGACACACACACAGCCTCACACACACATACACACAACCTCAGACACATGCACAGCCTCAGACACGCGCGCAGAGTCTCAGACACATGCATTGTATCAGACACATACAGTCTCAGACATAAATACACACATACACACACACACAGCCTCAGACACATGCACAGCCTCAGACACGCGCGCAG